GTTTTACGTATTTGTTAACAAAATGTTATTACATTATTCAATTTTTATGGCCTTAAAAATGTGTGTATAGAATTAACCTTAGGCAATATCATTTCAAAAGACTGTAGAATTACTTTTTATCCGTAATTGTTATTTTTATAATTATACACAGTCTGTGTGGTGTAATGTGATAATGTGATACAGGTATATAATATACAAAGATAAAACATGGTAATTTATATTTCTCTTTCCTTAAGTATTTATGTTTTAGGTTTAGAATCTTGAAAACCTCTTCTAGCTCTTTATAAGATGTGCAGTGAATCGTTATGAACCATAATAATCCCTTGTGCTGTAGGACACTGCAACTTATTCCTCCTCCCCAGCTGCATTCTGAGACTCAGCTGACCAGCCTCTGTATGCTTTTGTTCACAATTTGTACATCTTAAAAAACAGGATCTCATGATTCTCTTCTGAAATCACCAGAGGCAACAGAGTACAGGCTCGACCTGCACTGATATGATTAGGTCTCTGTGACCTGACAGGGGTCTTGTTCGTCTCTGACAAAACAAGGGGGACGAAGAACTCAGGACCATAATGCTGCAGGAACAGCCTCTACCACCCATCTCCTCCAGGGCATGTGGTACAGTGTGACACTTGGACTCACAGGGAATGTGTCCTACTTCTTCTTGCCCTATTTCCTACTCTGTTCCCCTTATTGGAACCCAGTCGCATGAGCATTAAAAAAAAAAAGTTGGTGATATGAAAACTGAGGAGCTTAAGACACGAAGACAGCTTGGCTAAGAAGATTGTTTAGGACACCCTGCCAGTAAACCTAGGTGGCAGACTTATCCCACGTCTGTCCCCTGCATCCCAGCCCACAGCCTATTTCTTAGGCATCGTCTACACATTTTCATTAGACTTCCGTTTGGCATTTTAAAAAACCTGTGTGAAGATTTCAGATAATCAGAGACTGGCTTTGTTGTCTGAAAACAGCTCTGTTTTAAAGAAAACACCAAGGGAAAAATCAACTTTAAGTCATCAGGGAGTAAGAGATCTGAAAGGTGCAGGTTCTGGGGCATCCCAGGAACAGGAGAACAGGAAACCTTGCTCAACTTCTGGGGCGTGGGCCTGAGCACCCTCTGGATCCAGCATCATTCGGTCTCCTGCTGTTACTGTCCTAATAGCCAGGGCCTTACCTCCCTCTTTAAGCAGTTGAAATGTACAGACCCTGGAATAGCTGGACTTTATCTTTTCTAAGAAGGACAAAGCTTGGGAGGAACCAACCTTCCAGTGAAATGAGCCACCAGCCTAATGTACTGTGGTCCATTCTGATTACTCCTTATAGTCAGAAGAGTAACAGTCTAGTTATACCAGGATTCTTTGGTGAAGGTGTTGAATCTCTGATCTCAGTCCTACTATATCTTGGCTATGTGGTCTAGAAAGATCCATGGCTCTATACAAGCTTTGGCTTCTGTTTCTTAAAACCCTTTCCCCATGATGTACATTCTGGAAGGTTTCCAGCATGTTCTCTGAGGGCAAGACAGAAATTCAGCTTTCCTTATCTCTATCTCAGGTCTTCCATGTTGTCTGGCACACTGTAACCACCGTGAAGAGTGATGAAAAGGGTAGGATCGACAGCATTATGGCAGGTGTGGGGGGCTCTGAACCCCACATTTTGCATGTTTTATCTCACTAAAATCCCCCAACCCCACTGCACAGAAGAACACTAACACCATGTCCTTTGATGGGAGATGAATATGTGACTTGCCTAAGAATTACCAGAGACGAGGAAATCTTAGCTCTGCCAACTCTATCTGTTTCTCTTTTTATGCCTACTGAGAGATGCCCTAAGTGAAGACTCCATCATCACAATGCACCCCCTTCACACCAGGCAGGGGAGGAGGAAAGAGGGAGGGGAAGTGAGGGATGGAGGGAGAGAGAGGATATCAAACAAGACCTACTGGTGGTGACTTGCCTCCCATTTTGAAGATGTTTTCTGCTCTCCATCTGAAACTTGCTAGAGAGAATGTATTGTGGGCTGTGTCATTAGGCCAGAAGGAGATGAGCATTCCCAGCTGGGCATAGAAGAGTGTTAGTGCAAATAAAATACTCCAAGACTTGAAAAATAAAAATCCCTATCTAGAGGACAGTGCCCAGGATGGCAAAATGCCTGAAAGGTATTTCCCTTGAGACAGCTGAAGAGACTAATTTACAAAAATAACAGGTGCTTTCTATTTCTCTCTTGTTAATTTTTCCAAGAACTTCCTTGGAAACAGAGCATCAGATTCCCTTTCTTTGTGGACAGGAGAGACAAAGATATAGTTTTCAAATTCTGTAGGAGAAATTTTTTTTTAATAATAATGCCCAGAAATGGGCTAGACTCTTGATGGTAAGACAGTTGTTAAGGGAGGTAATCAAGAAACACTGAAAGGTATTGAGCTATGAACTCTCTGATGCCCCTCAAAACTCCAATTCCAGGAACACTGACTCACTGGTGGAGGACCAAAGAAGACAGACTGATAACTCGGGAGAGTGACAGATCAAGATTCATGACTGATCTTAGAAGACCCCCAGTACCCAACACCAGCTTCTGCACCTCTCCCCACATCCCAGATGGCTCCTGGGAAAATGCACTGTGAGGAGGAGAGCTCACCTTTCTTTTCCAAATCTGCTTTTTCTTCTCCTGGCCGTCCCAAGCTGTCCAGGGCATGGGTCACCCGGCTGCCAAACTCGTCTTCACGGGAGACGTGGTTGGCCCGCCTGGGTGGGTCTTCCTCCTCCTCGTAGTCATAGTCATCCAGGATGGGGGTCTCCCGGATGGGCACGCCGATGACCGAGTTGTGCGCCTGAAGCCGGGAGGAGCGGAAGCTCTCCCGGGCCTGGGTACCCAGCAGCACTGATGGGATGTAGTGGATCTCATGAGTGGCTTCGGTGCTAGCGCTCTTCTGAGGGATGCGGCGTCGCTTCTGCCAGCGCCGCTGTGCGTACAACGCCACGGTGAATACCAGCAACAGCAGCAGCAGCGCGATGAGGCCACCCTAGAGCAGGAAGGAAGGACAGACAAATGGACCACTGATCTGCGGAGGATAGGGCCAGAGTGGCTTTCCCATCTGTCAGCTTGGCCTGAGTCCATGGCTCTGAAGTTAGAGAGATACCACTTTCCCACCCAGTTTCTTCATCAACAAATTGTGAGAATCGGGGCAAAATGATGTCGCTGAGCCTTGTTTTTCAAAGGCATCAACGATGAGTACGAATCTGGTTCTTCTTTCTTTTACAAGTCTGGTATAAAGAACAAACAATATTTGTAAGGGCAATGTTTGAACAACCCAGCTTGCTAATTAGAAATGAGATGGTATGTCTACAAATGTATCTCAAGTGACTTGTGAGATTAAAGAAATAACCTGGTCTGTGGGCCTCTGAGAGCTGAATAGTCCCAAAATATGTATGTATAGCACAGGCACCTGCCAGAGGCAGATAGCACCAGGCTTACCACTCTCTGGTCTCCCATTACCATAGTTGCCAGCAAGATCTCATGCAGGTATACTGCTTTATTCACCTTTTATTTTGTTTCATCTTTTGATGATTGGAGCCACCTTGTTCAGTACTGGCTATGTGACTGCTAGATTGGAAAAGAGGTGCCCTGGTTATGTGGGAGAGGAGCACAATGTGGAAACACAGAAGGTGAGTGGCAGATTAAGATCAAATCCTTATTGTTACCATGTTTATTCTATTTTATTTCTTAATCTAAAGCTTGCATTCTTGCCTTTCTACCCATGTGGTTAGTTGCTTTTCCCTGAGCATGATCTCAGTGTAGACACAAGTTCTGATCACACAGCATGTTACAGCAAGTACAGAGGACAACCCTGAATATCCTGTCTTGAGGGAGGGTGACTACTGTTGATACCTATTTAACAGTCTGTTTTATTCAACAACATGGTCCTGGCATCCAGCTGACTGCACATACACTGTGACACTATCATGTTCTTTATGAAAGACCTAAAACTCACTACACTGGGATCTTTATCCTCTCCTGGAGGTGAGAAATCAGGGGTCAAAGTAGCAAGGTATGAGTTTGGGCTGACAACATCAAAATAGGGGTTAAGTCTTACCAGTGACCTTGGCATTGAGTTAGTTTTGGGTTTTCCGAAAGGTTTTCCTAGATTTCAGAACTTAGAAATCAACAAAGTCCAGGTACATGTTTTTATGTAAATATATGTGTGTATTATTTGTCAAATGTAAGATATATGAGTCAGAAACATTCTTGTAGAGGGACGTGAGATGAGAGCTAATGGATGTGAAGAACTTGTCAGAACCTGGCACATAGTAAACACTTGGTATAGACAATAACTCCATTGTGGTGCATATAGGGTTACTGCAGAAGAAAATAGAGAAGAAGGAAAGAAAAAAAGTGGGAAAACGGCTATCGCATTCCTTGTGAACTGGAGATTGTACACAAAGGAGTTGCAGAGACCCACTGACCTACCTGCGTCTTATTCAGACATTCTCCTGAAGGAAGCAGACAGGTGACTCAACAAGGACAGTGTCTAGATGAACCTGCAGGAGTCCACTTACTGGCCCAGCCTACAGAATCACACTCTCTTTTCTTTGCTTTTTTGCACCAGGGGCAAGTAAATAGAAAGGAAGAGTGATTGATTTCCAGTGAGGAGGGCTGGGGTGTCCAGCCTCTGAGAACACAGCCGGGGCAAATCCAGATCCTGGTGACTGAGAAATATTAGAGGGCAAAAGAGAAGTCAAGGAGGAAGGAAAAGCAGTGAATTTTCAGAAAGCAAGTTAAGAAGGTAAAGCCCAGTGGGTGCCGCACTGAGGTCCTCTGGTCTCGGGTTCAATTTGATGCCAAATCCAATTTGAGTGCTGAGCAACCTGGAGTTTCCCAAAATAAACAAGGCTGGTGAAGGGCTGAAAGTCTAAGGGAAAAAATAAGCACCACCAGGCTACTGGTTAGCAATTTGTGTGAGTATTCATTGTATAAGTGTGTATGTGTGGGTAAGGCAGAGGTTTACTTCTTAATGGGTCTGATCATTTCACTAAGATAGCCCATCTTGAGAGTGAGGAAGAGATGAGAGAAAGGCAGTTAGCACCTATCTCTTCTGGAATCTTATTTCCAGGGGACTCTCTAGGCAGGATCAGCCTGCTTTCCTTGTTTTGTTACTCACAAGGAGCCTCAGATTCCCCAGCAGAGCCACACAAGGGTGAAGACAAGGGATGTCAAGGACAGAGGGGTTTAAAGTAGAAACCATACTTTCAGGGTATATGGAGCTCTGCTTCCTTGCTTGCTATTGGTTATGACATGTGTACTGCATAGTTTACCTCCTTGGGATCTGAGAGGCTCCTTTTAAAATTGGAGCTCATTGGGGCTGGAGAAATGGTTCAGTGGTGAAGAACACTTGCTACTCTTACAAAGGATCTGGGTTTGACTCCCAGCAATAACGCAGTTGGTTACAACCATCTGGAACTCCAGTTCCAGATTTGATGCCCTGTTCTGGCCTCCACAGACACCAGACAAGCACATGGTACACATACATATGCACAAGCAAACATTCATGAATAAAATAAAAATAAATAAATCTTAAAAGAGTATGTTCCTTTTAAAAAATGAGGCTGATTGTTCTCACTATGAAGAATTACGCCAAGGATTAAAAAGACAGTAAACGATCCAGATATAAAGTAAACATTTCAAACTTAAGAGCCTCCTTCATTTAGCTTCTCTTTGTGTACTCCAAATAAAATCCTTTAACTCTGCACTTTTGGCTTAACCTTATTCTCCAGCTCCCCCAGACTCACAGGATAATGTCCAGCATCCCTAGCATGGTACTCAAGACCCATCATGCCTGAGCCTTTGTTCCTTTATTGTGACCCCACTCCATCCAAGCCTCACCTGATCTACCTGACACATCCTACCCCAGAGTCCCACCAACTACTTTGCCTACACCTAAAGTATGACCACCCCTCGAGTGGACCTCCACCTAAAACAGTCTCTCACTATCCATAGCACATTTAATAATGTACCTCAGGGGACATGGCCCCTGATGAGATCATACCAGATGAAGGTGCGTCCTAAAAAATGACTGGTGTCCTTTTAAGAAGATGGGAAGACATAGAGACATAGATAGAGAGAGATTCATATGAAGATAGAGACAGAAAATAGAGTAGTGCATCCATAAACCAAGGAGTACCAATGCTTCATGGACCCTAACTAGCAGGACTAGCTTCTGCCACAGAGACTCTGCAAAGAATAACCCCTTCTGATACTTTTATTTGGGGCTTCTGGTCTCTTGGGCTATAGGAGAATGAATTTCTTTTTGTTTTAAGCTACCTAGTTTGTGACAATTGGTTGTAGGAGTTTTAAGGAGCTGAAATGATCATCTCAACCCACCCAGTCTGCTCAGCTTAAATTCACTTCCTCTGAGAACATCTCTGTTAATTGGTTTTGCATCACCATGACTAACACCTGAGAAATCAACTTAAGAAAGGAGGATTTATTCTGCTCGTGATTTTTCGAGATTTCAGTTCATTGTGGCAGAAAAGGTGAGTAGATTGGGCCTCATACCATGGCAACCAGGAAGGAGGGAGGGAGGAAGGTGTGTGTGGGGAGGGAGAGAGAGAGAGAGAGAGAGAGAGAGAGACTGAGTTTCCCCTTTCTATTCCATTCTCTTCCATCTAGCCTATGGGATGGTGCTGCCACATGTGGTACCTGTCTTTCTAGTTTGTTTAAACCTCTCTATAAACACTTGACAAGCACATAAAGTCTATGATGCAGTGTTTGAACCTAAAAAATGTGTGCAACAAATATCCAGGTGCCTAAAACCATCAGCAGAAGTGTCAGGGGAATGTTAATGCAAATATGCACAGGGCCCCTGATCATTCCTGGCATGATCTCTCTTAGATGTCTTCCTTTTTCTCTAACGCTCATAACGTTCATTCATTTTGCTTACGTACGCATTATCAAAACTCAAAAGTTATAGTCTACAAAATGAAAAGCACCCCAAAGCCACCCTACCAGCAGAGCCTTCTGCAAAGTCAGACTTAGGATGCCATTCAGACTGGCCTCATTTTATCTAGTTTTCATGTTAAAATATCCAGGCACAGAAAAAAGAGCCAAAGAAAGAAAAGAAAAGGTAATGCGGAAAATGCTTTATTTGACAATGTGTCATTCGGAAACATTATTTCTGTCTCCGGCCTTTTTAATATTCCCTCACAACGGCCAAGCCGCAAGGGATTTGGTATTCTAAGACTGGATTTATAATACTCTGTTCAGCAGTGATAAGAACACGGGCCTTTAATCCTCAGAGCTTAAGCCTAATGATGTGCGTTGCATCCATGAGACTTACATGGTGGAGGCAGAGAACCACTCCCTCAAGCTCTCTCCTGAACGCCACACATGTGTTTGTGGCATACATGCATCTTCAAGCATACACACACACACACACACACACGAATTCAAGCCTGCTACATGAACTTGGACAGAGGTTATGGGCCCTCATCCATCTGCCTGGTCAGGAGAGAAGGATATTTTCATGTATTTTGACACGTCTTTGATTTTCCCTCCTTTAATTCACAGCCAAGCACCTAGATCATTTTGGTATTGGTTTTTGAACAGTATTTAGGATCTATGACAAGGTCTCACACTGACACTCATGTTGTACTTGCTGTTAGGTTCACACACACCCCATCACTCACTTTGTGGTAGCTCACAAGAAACTGCAATGAAGTGAATAGAGACAAACAGTGTGTGTGCGTGTGTGTATGTGCATGCATGTGTGTTTGTGTGCATGTGTGTGTATGTGTGTCTGTGTGTGTATGTGTATGTGTCTGTGTGTGCATGTGTATGTGTGTATATGTGTGTGTATGTGTGCATGTGTGTATGTTTGTGTGCATGTGCATGTATGTGTGTCTGTGTGTCTGTGTGTGCATGTGTATGTGTGTATGTGTGCATGTGTGTATGTGTGTATGTGTGTGCCTGTATGTCTGTCTGTCTCTCTGTGTCTGTGTGTGTCTGTGTGTATGTGTGGTGTTTTTA